GGGATTACAGGCTTGAGCCACCGCGCCCGGCCAATATAAACTATTATGTTCATTGCATTGTGTTATGAATAGCACTGCAGTAAACATATTCGAATGTAAATCTTTTCTTGGGTATTTGATTATACATGTCTATAAATGGAATCACTGGGCTAATGAGAATTGACTACTTAATGAACACTGTAAAGCTCTTGATATTGTCTAACTGTTTCAGAAACATTTTATCCACCTTCCCAACTATCTCCACGCATCATATATGACAATGTGCATTTCACAGGGCATATGTAAAAACTGTGTATTACCAATTTAAGATTTAAAACCAGAAATACTTTTATAGAGACTCAAAAAATACTTAGGTTGGTGCAAAAGTAATTGCAGTTTTTGCCATTAAATGTAACTATAAAAACTGCAATCACTTTTGCACCAACCTAATAAAAGCCTATTCCCTCCCCTTTACCTACCCCACCTCTAGCCAATATCAGGTCTCTAAAGTAGAAGACAGTGTCCCAGATCTGTTATTACTTATCAACCTCAGTCTCTCACGTCTCTCTATGGGAAAAAGATATGTGAGGCCTACATTTATTCACTGAGTATTTATTATTACGACTTATGTTCATTTCTTGCTCTGTGCATCAGGAGAAGCTGCTGGTTCATGTGGCACTTCTGTTTATTATGATTATATTTTTGAAGCACCACCATACTTTTTCTCACAGGAGCTGCGCCATTGTACATTCCCACCAGCAACACACAAGGGTTCCAGTTTCTCCACATTCTCAGCAACACTTGTGGTTTTGTTTTTTGATAATTGCCATCACAGTGAGTGTGAAGCGATATATCGTGGTGGCTTTGATTTGCATTTCCCTAATGATGAATGATGTTGAGCATCTTTTTATGTCCTTATGAGGCATCTGTGTGTCTTCTTCCTTTATTTTTTCAAGGGTCTTTGCAGATGTATAATGCAGATGTATAATGTATATCTTTGCAGATATATAATGTATATCTTCTTTGGAAAAATATCTATTCAACTTTTTTGACCATTTTTAAATTAGCTTGTTTGCTTTTTGTTATTCAGTTGTAGTTCTTTATATGTTCTGAATATCAGTTCCTCATCAGACGTGATTTGCACGTATTTTCTCCTACACTGTGGGTTGCCTTTTCACTCTCTTGACTGTCCTTAGGTGCACAAAAGTTATTAATTTTGATGAAGTTTACTTTATCTATTTTTTTCTTTTGTTGCTGTGCTTTTGGGGTTGTCCAAAAAATCATTGCCAAATCCAATATCATGAAACTTCGCCCCTGTATTTTCTTCTAAGTTTTATAGTTTTAGCTCTTACATTTAGGTCTTTGATCTATTTGAGTTTATTTTTGTATATAATGTAAGGTAAGGGCCAGGATTTTTTTAAAGATGTACTTTCGATTCCCACCAAATCTCGGTGAAAGCCTGTGTCAGGCAGTTAAGAAAATGACACAAATATTCAAGCCAACATTTGTTCTGAATGATTTTTCTTCCTCGTATAGGCTTAGGTGGTTTCCCAACAGACAGGTGAAAGAAAGCGTTTGGGGAACTGATGGCTCATGTAACTAGGATACAGCAGTGAGGTGGCAGTTGGGCTCAGCAAGTGTTTTGTTGTAAATATGCTTGAAGAAATCCCCAAAAAGAGAACAGCAGGAGTAGATAGTGGCTTAGGCTAGAAAAAACATGCATGTGGGTGTTATGTAGGTACATATATTTGCAGCAGAGGGAAGGAGAGAGGACACTGTTGTTGGGAACTGTGGGCTATAGAAGCTAAAAACATCTTTTATACAAAAACACATTTCTTTTCATGCTGCTTCAGAGAAAATCTAAATTAGCTACAATTACGTGCTAACTATGTTTCCAGAACAGTTGTCCTAGCTCTGTTTTATTGTGGACAGAACCTAGCTGCACTTAACAAAATGTGAAGTCTGTCTGGACTTCCCTTGGAGAAGACTGAAAAGGACGAAGAATCCCCAGTCCATGTAAGCTGCCTTGCCTAGCTTCAAATATCTGCACTGGACTGGCTGCTCTCTGACGGGCCTGGAGATGACAGTAGTGCCATGCTAATGCAACTCAGGGTCTCAGGGGTCTCCCCACATGAACAAGATTCTCTATTAGGCTCTCATCATTGGAATGCTTGACATTGGCAGTTGGCTGTCTAAATTCCAAATAAATTAATGTTAAATCCTCTTTTTTTTTTTGAGATGGAGTTTCGCTCTTGTTGCCCAGGCTGGAGTGCAATGGCATGATCTCGGCTCACTGCAACCTCCACTTCCCGGGTTCAAGAGATTCTCCTGCTCCAGCCTCCTGAATAGTT